ACACACACACACACACACACACACACACACACACACACACACACGTTATTACATCCACTGAATCCAGGAAGAACAGACCGAATTTCTTTGTTTTTTAAAGGTTACAGAAAAGCAATACTTGCCCATGTGGCAATTTTGTCACTGCAATGCAATTTTGACTTTGATAACCAAGTTTCATATCTAAAAATTCAATACTACTACAATATCACAGCCAACAAGAAAATCCCTAGAGAAATATATAAACCTCAGCTGTCCCGGACAACTGTGGAGCATCTGTTTCACAGTGTGAGGTTTGAAATTATCGGGAAGTGTGTTAGATTTAGATGTATATCTAAAAGTCTCTACAGCGAGACAGCATGTCATTTTTGAAAATCAAATACTTCGAATGAGACTTCATTTTTAGATGTACCTAAAGTCAAATGAACATCATAATTCTGCCTCACACCTGTAAATGTTTAACCTTTTAACATCCACCAGGTCACTGGCGATTCACTTAGGTTTAGGGTCAGGAGCGGGGTTCGGGTTTTGGACTCCACCGAGGCTGTCCTTTGTTAGCGCTTCTTTTCTTAATTTTCATGGACAGAATTTCTAAAGGAGTCAAAGGATGAATGGCGTCAGATTCCGAGATCTCAGGATCCTATCTCTGCTTTAGGCAGATGATATGGTTCCCTTGGCTTCGACAGGCAATGTTTGGTGACTACAAAAATAGGCTTCCTTCCAAAAATGGGGTGTCTAGACTGTCCATTAGAGAGCGGTGGAGAAGCGGAGTCATTTGGATGGGGGTCAGAGTAGAGCCATTACTCCTTCACACCATAAGGAACAGCTGAGGTGGTTTGGGCATCTTTCTACGATGCCTTCTGGTCTTGTCCTAGGGGAGGTGCTCTGAGCACTGGTATAACCTTCCTGTATGTTTCTGGTTCGGCACACTGCTGTCTTCACTATTTGTCTTGACCACTTTAGTTTTCTGGGCTCGTGTGGATTCTCGCAACCACTGTGTGTGTTGGTGTTCAGGCTCTGGAGATTCAGGTGGCCCTGATGGGAGTTTGGGTGTTGTCACAGTGTGAACCATCACACCGTCTGTTGCTGTTTCTGCTTGTTTCTCTGTTCCTGCTTGAGTGTTTGGTTTTTGGGTTTCATTGCTGTGTATTTTGCACTCTTTGAAGGGAGGTGATTGTTGAGGGTGAGATGTTGGTGAGGGTGATGCACACATGTTCACAAGTAAAGGTTAGGTGTTCTAGGCAAGTCCTACCAGGAGGAGGGTCAAGGGCAAATCCAGGATGTGCTGGAGATATTATATCACCATTTCCTTGGTATTCCCTTAGATAAGTTGCGGGAAGTAACCCAGGGGAGGGACGTCCGGGCTTAAAACTGCTGCCCAGCAGCACATGATTGATGGATGTTAGAATAGCAAAGCTCTGACATCATGAGCGCAGTGGGCTGCTGGATTGATGACAATCCATGTGTTAATGCAGATGTGTTCAGAGTTATTTGTTTGTCTTAATAAATTTCAGTTAATATACTAGTGAATGGAGGTAGTTAACTTTAACAGAATGAAAATGGGTGCAGATCAGTGCATCACGCATACATTTTATGTTATCCAGATGTAAAAGCAAAATTGCCACACTGGAATAAGATGACAAACCTGCCGTTTACATGACTTGTGATGCAGACCTGTGTTTTCAGAAAAGCTGCAGAAATGGTGCATCATAGCATAAGCATCCCTTGAGTTTAGCGTGTATTCTTTCAAAGCAGTTCGCCAACATTATCTCAGGACAGACGTTGGCAATCAGTTCAGGATGTTGTCTGAAATTGCCCCTTGTCATGTGTAGAACACAGCAGGAGCCAGCCTGGGTCAAATGCATTCTCACCTTCAGAAATATGGTTTGCTTTAGGCGAGGGTGCTGTCTCCATAGAACACGGGGGAGGCAGGAAATGAGGCATTTACTTGCTCGCTGTGAACACTATGCGTTCAATCGGGCATCATGCAGAGTTTACACTAGGAAGCTGGCAGGTTGAAGACAACTTGATGTCCAATTTGGCTACATTTGAAATTTGCTGTAGCTTGTCTGGCTTATTTGGTTTTAGAAATTTGCAGTAATTGTTAGATCTCTTCCTGCCTACTTCTGGTAACGAACTGTATGTAAAGCAAGTGAAATTCGTATATTGATGCAGGTAACCTTGTTTTCTACTAGAATTAAGTTACAAAAAAAAAATATCTCACCTGTAGCGCGCGTGCGTGTGTGTGTGTGTGTGTGTGTGTGTGTGAACTCCAAATATAGTTGACCCAGGGTCTTCAGACTTCTCCCAGAGCCAGACCAAAAGCTCTGTGTGATGCATTATTAAACAGTACCTTACCTGCCTTGTAACACTCTGAACACATTATCCTTCAGCAGTGCAGCCTGTGAGAAATGCCTTTTTCTTCCTATTTTACCTTAATGTTCACTACACTGTGCTGCTCTCTCTGAAAACCAGCATATCCGAGAAAAGGAACAAAGGGCAAACTCAGACAGGGTTAAGTTCAGAGCTGAAGTCACTCCTCATGCAGACCAGAATAAGCGAACGCTTTTTATTGATTAGAAGTTCACCTGTGCTAGAGACGTGCCTGCACAGACGATAAGTCATACAAAGGATGCTTTAACACCCTCAAAGATGTAGTTGGTTTATAAATGGGCTTCTGCAGGAGGTGTTTTCACGCTCCAACAGGCACAGTCTGTTTTAAATACTGCAGGGAGACAAACCTGCCTGTTTCCCTGACAAATCTGTTTTTAACACAGCCACAGTGGACATCAGTAACCCTCAAATCTCTTAACTTGCTAAACATAAAGAGAGAATCTGGATTGAGTCCTACAAACAGCATCTTTTTTTTTTTCTAACTCTTTGCTTGTTTGTTTGTTTGTCTTTTAAACAGGTGATGCCAAATCAGAAGACACGGCCAATAAGGAGGCAGGAGAGGAGAAACCAGAGGAGGACAACGACTATCACCGTAGTGACGAGCAGGTAAGCCTGACGGATGACAACATTTGCTCCTTGTTTCCTGCCTCCGGGGCCTTCTCAAGTGGCAGCCTCTCTTCTACTTTGTTGCATTTCAGAAAGGCACATCCCCCCCCCTTGCTTTGAGATATCGGCCTCCGTTCTGGCACAATCTTAATCCTCGGACCTCGCTGTCAACTGTTTTTTAATTCCAGATACTTTTTGCTGAAGAGAAAGTCTTTGTGAAAACTGTTGACAGCAAAGTCTGAGGATAATTCAAGCCATCGGGGACATTATGGTGTCCACGGCACCGGGAAAAACAGAAAACCCAAACATAATCCTATCCTTTGCTTTATTAGTACAGAAACAGATCTAAGGAGATATCTGCTTTGTTAGATACCACAGCACTTGAGTTGTTTTCAGTCTAATTATGTTTTATATTTTGCACAAAAGTCCACAAGGCATGGAAGTATATATTTTTTTCCTTTGAGCAGATACTGGAAGTGAATCGGGTAAAATAATTATGGGTTACAAAGCATTGTGTCAGGAACAAAAGCACCAAGGAATAAAAATACTGTTTGTGATAATTGTTTGTACAATTGCCTTAAAAGCCTGAACATCAATTATTGCCTTTATAAAAGTGGCCCCCTTGTGGTTTACCAGGCTGTTTCACAATTACTGGGTTCTTTTGTCTTTCGGCTGTTTGATTTGCACGGAGCCACACAGACACCACAGACACACCACTGCTACCCACTGAACATATTTAAAATAAAAATGGGCCTTTTCTTGATTCCATTTGTATTCCGGTGCGTTCTTAAGCCCTGAAAAATGTCATTAATAATGCAGCGAGAGTGGAGTTTCTATTGTTGCCGGACAGACGCCATGTGGAAATAATGGCTCGCCGTTTGTTGTACAGGCTGAAAAATTAATCTTGTTCGCGTTTTAGCTGTTGCTTTTCTAAAGAATTGGATTTATATTTAAAAAAACAAAACAACCACTTCTTTGCTGCCATGTGGGGAAAACAGGCCGCCCTGATGAGGGTGAAGATCTTGCCCTTTGGATACGCGGCAGCAGTGCAGAATGCACTCGGAATAGCTAATACAGTGGGCTGCGTGAGCTGAATGCAGTGATGTCAGATGTAACTCAGCCTCAGAAGGGTGGGAAGGGAAAATAAGATGAGAGATGGAAAAGAGACAAAGTGTAGGAGAGAGAGGTGATGTCAGGTCACCATGCAGGGGGTGAGGTGATCATAAATACGATTCTCTGGGTTTTATGTCGGAGGGAAGTCTAATGTGAGATGATGGAAAAGTGAGCCTCATCAGAACATGCAGAAAGGAAATGGCTGAAATAAGAGGATGATGATGGTGCACACTCTTAAAAGTAGGGAGCTTTTAGACCACCAGGGAGTGAAAAGAAGAAAAGGGGGGGGGAAAGCCCTTTCACACAAAAATACAACCTTGATTTCAGGAAGGCTGCTGCATTGATGAGAACGGCCGCTGACACAGATGTGATGTGGCAGGAAATCATAATACAGAGTGTCATCCTGCATACATTGACCAGTCGGATAAATGCAAGCACACGCTGCTGGCAGATCACATTATCACTGGAGTGGTGTTTTTCTGAAGTCACCTTTACAGTCATTTGTACTTTGTGTGAAAAAGGGCTACTCCTGCTGTCAAATACTGCAGTTTGCTACTTATTCTATATATAGAGCTGATGTTTGTGGAGGTGCCTGCTGTATCCAGGACTTCATATTTAGGCTGCCTTCGTGTAATATCATGTACTTTGATTGACAAACCAAGTTCCAAAAATGCTGAGATGATGTATAAGATGTAAATCAGTGCAGTACCGTATTTGCAAACAATTTTACCTTTTGTTTGGATTTTCTGGACAGCACGGAGAGAGTAAAACTCAAATATGCAGAGCCTAGCTGTTGTGGTTGAGACCCTCGGGATAAAGGAGCAGCTAAAAGAAGCTTTATTGGGGTTTTTGGTCATATATATACATATTATTCTCGTTGAAGTAATTTGATGGCATGGCTCTGCAAAACGGGATGTTGCATCTCTGAGCAGATGGAAGTGAAAACAGCAGTTTCAGTTGGGGGGAATGAAGATGAAGAGCAATTTTCTCCCAGAAATCGATCGCCCCTTCATCACTGAGATGTAACAACCAGCAGGCATTGTGAGCATGCATGGAAGACTTCCAGAACGCTCCCCCGCTGTCTTCTGGACGACCTTTTAGAGTATAACCTTGGGGTGTTGCTAGGCGAGAAAGAAACTTGCAACAAGCTCATCTAAAAAGGGAGAAACTAAATTCCTTATAAAAGCTGCAATTAATCAGAGCAGCCTACTTTTGCAGCAAAGCATGACGCTCGTTTCTGAGGTTAATGTTTCTAGACGAGGTATAAAGTCTCCAGATGGGGTCACCTTCAGACTCATATCAAATTTTAATAGAGTCAGAACAGATTGTGTAAATTTAATAAACTACAGCTATTTTGGGTTTAAAGAGTCTACTTTGAAGACATTTGCGAGAGCAGCTTCGCTCTGAATTATTTATTGATGTCTCCAAATGTAATTTATCAGAGATCCAAATTCAAAACCCACACAGACAAACTTTTACTCCACACAGAAGAAGGTGCAGATAGAAATGTTGCATCAGCGCTCTGCAAGCATTCGGGACTCGGCAACATGGTGTAAAGCTTTCGCTTCATGACTCCTGAAGGCTCGTGCGATATTTTCTTGATACGCCTCTCCCTTGCATCATCACGTCTGTGTGTTTAGCTGAAGCGGGAGTCCTCGGCTCTGTGAGCACGTCACTAATCTATTTTAATGTAATGAAACTGCCTTGCGGCCTGCTATCAAGCTGCCGTGGAGTCCAGATCACTGCTAAGGGTTTTATTTCACATTATGAGCCTCCCTCATTGCCAACACCACTGGAAAGCAGATATAATATGAATCTGGGTTTTGCTTATTGAAGGGCAGGCTGCTCGCTGAAGCGCTGCCAGTGTTTACTTGAGAGCAGAGATGATTTCCAAGTTTAAACAGAAACCAGGGTAATGTTAGCTCTCTCCGTCTCAAAAGAGAAAGATGAAAAGAGGAAGAGGAACACCCACAAATGAATAAATCCAACGCTTCTGCCTTTGTCTCTTGATATGTGCCGCTGGAGCCCAGTAGCAGTAATGCATTCTGACTCCCGCTACCATCCACTGCCAAAAACCACCTACCATGTTACCTCGGGGGGGTGGGGAGACAAATGAATGGGCCAATGGCATTAAGTGTCGGTCGCGTGAAAGAAGCCAATAAACAAAAAACCCCAAAAAAAACAGCAGCAGAGGTTCAGTGAGATGTTGTGAGGAAGCAGAGGAGGAAATCAACACCAGCGTCAGGTTGAGTTTTTATGAGAAGGTGGGTGAAACGAGCTACAAATCCACCTGAAGTCTTCGGTTTCTTCACACATACCGTGTGAGCTGAATCGATCCCTGCGGCCGGGCTTCTTGGTTTCATGTCTTTGCAAAAGAGATGCTGTAGAAAGGTGGAAATATGTTTGTCGAGGTGGGCAGGCTACAGTTCTGGTTACACAGCCAAAACTAAATTGTTGAATGGATTATAAATGGAAGGCAAACTAAATATTGTGGTTGTTCACAGCCTCAGCGACAACAAAAACTGACAAATGGGGCTTAAAGGCTGTTTAGTTATCCAGACTGAAAGCATTTCTGTCATTCTTTAAAAGCAGCATTGAAGATTGAAGCAGTTTTCACAATGTTGGTATAAATCAGGTTTGGCGATTGTCAGCCATCTCTGTCTTCACTGGACGGTTACCTGCTTTATACGTTTATAAGCACAATCAACGAAACCTCAGCTTTGTATCAAGCTTTTTAATGTCTACTTCAGCTGAGTTGGATAGTTTTCTCACATTCAGCTCTGCTGGGTGAAAAGTTCACAGCTGCAGGACTTGTGAATTCTGCCATGAGGTTTTTGACCTTTGCGGAGGTGGGAATTTTGACCTTTAGGTGCTGCCAGGTGAAACTTTCTGGGCTTCTCAAAGTAAGAAGGTGGTTCTTATGAAGACTGCAGACGTCTAAGTTGTTCTGAACTTTCCTAAACCAAAGTGTTTATATATTTATTTATATTTAACTTTACACACATGACTACAGTTTGACTGTGAAACAGCAGCATTTGAAACAGCTTGAGGCAGAGTTATAGGCTCTGTCAATCATGTAACACTAGATTTACGTTGACATTCAGAACAGGGCTCTGCAGTGGACACACTCCACATTGTCACTGATGCTAGCTCTAGCACTGCCCTACTACTTACTCTTTAAAAGGAACCTTGCGATCCCTCGTGGCTTATATTTAAAAAAAAATGTAGCACTTTAACATGAAACAGTTCTTAAAGGCCTTATAAAATGATAAGATCATGTACCCACACTTCAGTGGACGCAGGATTTAAATCCTCATCTTCTGTCTCCTAACAGGTCAGCATCTGCTTGGAGTGCAACAGCAGCAAGCTTCGCGGTCTGAAGCGCAAGTGGATCCGCTGTTCAGCACAAGCCACGGTCCTCCACCTCAAGAAGTTCATTGCCAAAAAGCTTAACCTGACATCATTTAATGAGGTACAGATAATATCACGCTCCACCAGCCCGGGAAACAATGATGACAGGGAAATGAGTCTGTCACGAACTAAATGTAGTTTTAGTGTAAAATTAAAGCTGTAAAGGAAGCAGTTTAAGAGGAAACACTTCCCCCCTCAGCGCTTGTTATCTCCATGTTGATAACCTTGAGAGTCTGCATCACTCTGATCCTTTTATTGCTCAAAGCTAGACTTAACCTGTACATTTGAAGCTTTCTACTAGCCTTAATTACAAAGGAACAGAAATGGCTTCATATGTTTGTTCTTGGAGTTTAAATTAATCCTCATTTTATCTGATGCTGAGCCTCAGTGAGACCCTTAAGGCCATTCTCGGTCTGAAAGGAGCTGTTTTTGCTACTCCCCCTCCCTTTAAACCAACTATATTGTCATTAGCTGCCCCTTGTAAACAGAAAGTTTGAACAGCAAGTGGGTGGGGCTTCTGTGCCCAGTCATATTAGGAATATCTTTGACATTGTTCAGAATCAGTAGTGGGTTAAAGCTAAAAAGCTGCTAGAAGCTGAGAATCACAAGCAGCCTGACCAGCAGCTAGAGGCGTGACCCGCACCCTGACACCATCATTTCAAACATTATAAATCCAAACCTGAAAAACTCCACAAAACCCCACGACCATGACACTTACAGGCTTTCCCTCCAGGAAGTTTTACAATAATTCCTATAGTAGTTTGTGATTAAACATTGAGATTGCAGATTACTGCTTTTAGTCATTTTAATTCCTGTTCTTACAAAAACATTGTTTCTTTTTCCAGAAATGGATTTGTAGCAAATTGGAACAAATCTCTTAATTCTTGGCGCTTGTTTTAAGTTTTCGGAGCACCAGCTGTCCCGTGTGGGCCCCGCGTATCAGAAAGTTTTAGTTAATTGCAAGAAATTGCATAAAAGGTCACTTTATTGTAATTCTTCTGTACTGACTCATACAATGCCTTTTGTGTTTGTTATATTTAGCAGGAAACAAGCCCATATGAGATCTAATTTTTCTATTAATTATCGTTACCACCCTGTTATAAGCAGCGGGGGATGGGAGGGTGGAGGGGAGTAGGCGATAATTTGACAGATGGATTTTTCGATTGAATCATCAGTCGCCTCCTTGTCGTCTATTTTTCTGTTTTCTCCGTGTCCTTTTTTTTTTTTTTTAAACTGGCTGTCACAGAGATGAGTGGGAAGGCTCCATCATATCGTCGGCCTCCATAACACAGCTTTGGCGAGGCGGATGCTCTCCCAGCCAGCCATTGTTGTCCTATCTACTGACTATCAAAAGATGTTGTTTGAAACGATTTCTGCTTTCAATGCAGAGCCGAGCGCAGAGCATTGTCGGGGAGCAGTACACCAGTTACTCATTGATCATGTTTGTAAACCCATCGTTGTGGCCACGTCAGCCATCCGAATGTCTCTGCAGGAAGTGTTTCCGTCAGATGAAACTAGGATAAAAGGAATGCCCAAAATGGAGGAAAATCAGGGATCGATTCCTGGAATCAAATAGATTTTCTTAGGTCTTCTTTGGTGACCATATAAAGACAATAAAGATGTTGTTCTTATTATTAAGCATTATAAATGTGCTACAAGAATAAGCACATTTTTGGCATTTAAAAGACTATCTTGGTAAAAGCTAATCTTCCAATCTCAAAGTTTCACATATAGGAGATGCATGTTTAAAAAATCCATTAATTCTTTTTTTTATTTTTATTTTTTTTTTTACACACTCAGTTCTATAGCTGTGGAAACTAGTTCACAACAGCAGTCGCCTCAAAATGCTTTGAACTGTAAATTTAATAACAGAAAATGAACCAAGCACTTGGCAGCTGTGGAGACGAAGAACTCCCTTTAAACAGGAAGAGACATCCAGCCAGGCTTAGGCCCGGGCAGCAATCAATCACTGATCCATGCTGTAACTATAAGCTTTGTGAAAAGCCAAACTTAATTTTAAAAGTCCCAAATCCAACGTGGGAAACTGTTTCCACAGGAACACGGGAGCCTGAAAGATGAAGGCTCTGCCTCCCGCTCTACTTTAAGGAGCTTCGGGAAACACAAGCCAGGGGCTCTGAGAGGGATAAGTGCTCTATTGGGGGTCTTTAAGTTATGATGGGACTGATTATTCAAGAATTTTAAATTAAATTGTGGTTTTAACAGGAAGGCAATGAAGAGAAACTAATATGGACGGGATGACTCTTACTCGTTCCTGTTAATACTCTCTGTGACATTTCAGGGAAACCTCGCTTGTCAGGAAGCTTTTAGAGCAACCTCATAAGGAATTACAACAATTCAGCCCTTTAAGTAGCAAATGAATGGACAAGTTTCCCAGCATCACTACAAATGATTCATTTAGTTTAAAATCTCATAGAACAAAATTCAGAAGATCACAGTTATGCTTTGATTGGTTTTGGTGTGCCAGATTCTGGTTTCCTTCTTAGATTGCTTTTTTTTTTTTTCTTTCATTCAGCATCTCATTTTTCTGATTTTCATTGTGAGCATCTCTGTTTAGATAATGATGATTTAATAAGTTTCTTCAGGGTTTAAGGGTAAAAAGCATCTCAGCTGTACAATTCGATTTTAGATTTATGGTTTTGTTTTGTCGGACAGAAAACCTGATTGGAGAATGAAATTCTTCCCCTGAATTGCATCCTCCAATCAGACCTGGATAGTTTCAACTCCTCCCAGCCTTAAAATGTGCTCTCTCTGAGAGCCAGCAGGTGGCGCTGTGGCAGTGTCCCTCCCCGGCCTTCACTTTCTCTCCCTCCCTGCGTGCCTCTCAGTATTGATTGGCAGATGCAGATGCGAGGAGCTGCTCAGAAGAATATCAATGCCGGCTTCACGGGGGAGCGGTAGATTTGGCGAGCCGGCATCGTGTTCAGTATCGAACTTTTGGATTCTCTGTGCGGGTGCCAGGGGCCACTCGATGTCAAAATGAGCCCCCCACTCACCCATCCACCCACCCAGCTACATCTCCAGGAAACACTGATGTTAGAATAGAAAGAAAGAGGGGAAAATAGTAGAGTTTCACTTTGTCCTCGCACTAACCAGCAGAGACCTCCAGCATACGCCGCTCATATTAACGTCATGTTGTTAACTACTCTTGCACAAATCGGGTCAGATATCGTTCAGTAATTTGTTTCTGTGCTTCTTTTCTCAGCTGGACATTTTATGCAACGAGGAAATCTTGGGGAAGGACCACACTTTGAAATTTGTTGTTGTTACAAGATGGAGATTTAAGGTAAAAGACAAATGAGTTGTGAGTTTGAGACTGGTATTACCAGTAATATCCAGTTGAATTGATTTCACTGAAATGTTTTTGCTATGTGGACACTTATCAACTGAAAACGAATCAGCTGACTACAGACTGTTCATGTATTGATATAATCAGTTAATATTGGCGACTTTTCCCCAGAAGTAAACTCCAATAGTCTGATGCATTTCCAGGTTATATTTTTACTGAACAGCCATCAGGCAAGCATGCTTTCACCACATGCCATAGCTCCATTTGGTTAACTAGCACAAGCGACATGAGTAACAGTTAGCATCTCATTAGATAAAGCTAGTTATCAAAGCTGCTGTTATTCCTTCTGCATATCATATTTAATTAAATTCAGTTTTACTTATATAGCACCAAACTACAACAGCAGTCACCTCAAGGCGCTTTATACTGTAAGGTAGACCCTACAATAATAGCATTTACACAGATGGTGCTTAGATTTGTAAGAAAAACTGAATTTGAACACAGAGTTTGGCCAACATATCTACAGTGTTTGCTGCAGCAGTGAAGCAGTCCTTTGGTTTCTCTGGCTGATGTAATCTTCTCATGTAGAGTCTATACCATATACCTGCCTTCATGAGTACCCAGTGAAATTTCAGTTGTGCAGCGTAGGTCACAAAAAACTTCCTAGAAGGACGTCTTCCCAAATGCTTTTCAAGCTTCTTTGGAAGTTATAGAGTATGTAAGTTTATTAGATCACCTATGATAAAAACAAAAACACACAGACTGTAAAAATCGGTCAAAAACTGGTTTAAAATGAAAAATAATGAAGTAATAAGTTCACCTTTTTGTACTCAAGACTTCTTTTAATTAATCGAGTGTAACATCGGGCTTCTTGAAAATGAGGACAAATTATGTTCTTAAAGCGACTTCCCCAAATTCAAGGACTTGTGTTCCAGTTAACAGTGGCGTAAACACAGACATGTGTTGATACATCACGTCTCCACCTGTAACAGTTAATGTACAACTAGGTCTCTGCTGTAGGTGGAAACCCATTTAGTCTGTCATAAATCTGTTATTTCTCGTAGAAGAACCTAAACTATAGCACTTAAACATTAGCATCATGTTTTCTAAGCCAATCCATGCTTCAGCGCAGTTAATAAGCTAATTGTGAATGGTTTAAGGCCTCTTGCTCGAGCTTGTGTTTTGCTTGTTCCTTGCAGAAATCCCCCCTCCTGCTCCATTACAGACCCAAGATGGATCTGCTGTAGCTACAACGGACACAGTGGTTGTTTTTTATTTTTCTTTCTGGCCCAGTGGCCGCGGACTGTGCCGAAACCTTTTTAATTTATGCAAAGACGATCAACCAACACCAAGCAAACGCCCGACGGTAAAAGTCAACACAAGCCAGCAAACGTCCATCTAACGGGGAGGGAAAGTGGGACAAACTGACACAAACTGGCCGCCTCTCCAGCACAGACACTGCAACACTGGCGTGTGTTTTTAGAAACTAAAACAACCATTTTTTTCCCCTGGTCTGCTACATCCTACATATGTGAACGAAAAAAAAAAATATGGAGAAAAAGCATATATTTATACTTTTGTACAGAAGAGACACACGGAACCAAGACACTACTGGTGCTCTGTTTACACGCAAACAAGATGTCGGGAATCGTGTGACCGTCTTTTCCAGCTCCATGCAGACTTCATCCTCCTGAGATGATGACTGAGCGGAGGACAGGATTATTTTTTTTTAATATAAAAAGGTGTTTTGTTCTTTTCACACCGCACTCGACACGTCTTGGGAGCACAGAAAGTATATGGAAAAATTTATATAACAGGCATCAAATTTACGCTGTTTATCAAGTCTCTGATTTCCCTTCCTTTTTTTTTTTTTTTTTGGTTTAAATTTCATTCTGTTTGCTTTGTCTAATTTGCTATTGGGTTCTCAATTGTCAATTGTGAATAGGTTAATTTTTTGTGTAGTTATTTATGTTCTATATACCAATATTGTACATAAAATGTCATTACAGAGAGAGAAAGAGATTGAAGAGAGACTTTAGACTGTTAAAAGAGAGTGGATCCCAGAAGTGCTATCTATATGTTGGGCAATAAATGTCCAGAGGTGATAAATTAGGATTTTTAAAGACAGACTCACTATCAGTATCAAATTATATAAATGCATTTTTATGTTGTCTGAGAAAGACACAAAACAGCTATATCAAATCCTCTGCCATTTATGTGTATGTGGGGTCTAAATGTGTTCCTTTGCCCCGATAGATGAACTTTTAGGGGGCCGATGAGGAGAAAGCTTCACCCCAACCTCATCCTTCCCATCTCACCTTCCTTCAGTAGAACACATTTATTGTTAATTTTAGTTATATTAACACATTTTAACATTACACAAAACACTCATGTCCGTAGATGCCCGGAAGATGTTTCATTTTTTAAACATTGTTTTCGGTACCCACCGTGCAGTCTTATCCGTCCCTGTGTTTCTGCAGTCTTTCAGTGGCAGCAGCACCAGGCAGGTGTATGCCCATACCACCCACATGTTTACAGCTTTTGGTTTGAGCTGCTAGCTGTAGATGTTTTTTGGCACCCTCCATCCTTCCAGACATTTCATTCAGCTCCATTTTTACTGCAGAGCTACCGAAGCTGCAAGGTAGAAATGTAGAGATACAGACAACTCCCTCATCTTAACAGCCTCAGAGACGGTCTTATCCTAGTTTCTTTTTTATGGTGAACATGGAAGGGAAGTGACATTTATTATAAACTTCAAGCTCGTCTCTTCAGATGGATTCAAACGTCACAGATGTGCCAGTTCTGCAAACATGAGTGCAGGTTAGCGATATCGCTATTTTCCATTTCTGGGTTATACTTTGGTTAGTTCTCACTGCCAGCTGGAGAGCAAAGGTGCAAAGTCTTTAAACGCATCAATACGACAGCATTTCTGAAAGATAAGTGAATATTTTTAGGCTTGTAATCACACACAAAACAAAAGAAAATCAGTATAAAACTTGGATTTTCCTTTTTTTTTTCTTCCTTTTTTGCAGAGTAGCCAGTGTTCAATATTGTTGACTTAACAAGACGATTTTATGAGTCTTTTTGAAAGAAATATCGTGCAAATTCAGGTTTCTCAGCGAGGAGGCTGAGGTTTTTTTTGAACATTTTGATAATGAAATGACTGCTGTTTGGTCATTTGGTGCTTATAGATGTGTGTTTCTGACCTTGAGGAGGATTGTTCCTCATGCGGGAGCATGCCGCTCTCAACTTTGTGACGCAGAAAACTGATGTTCTGTCAAAAGCAAAATGTCTTAACCCTAAAAATCCTGAACCGAACTGTCTTTGACCACAACTGGAATCCTGAGCAGCGTGTCAGACCTCAAGTAGTCTTACCTCACTGACTTCTCTTATCAGTAATTAAAAACGGCAGTCCAGCTTTTGCGTTGTATCGCCCCACAACAAGCCGTCTGTCTGTACGCTCATGTGCGGGGTTCCTATGCATCTTCAGATCTCACAAGTCTGGCGGAGTGATTTGAAATTGGCCGACAAAGCAATGTGTAGGGACTCGTTAGGACCTATGACGTGTGTATTAAATGCATTATAGCCTACAGGTCTGTACAAAACCAGCTCTACCAAAACTCCTTCTGCATGCTTCATTCATGTGCTGACCTTTATGTTTCAAGGACCTTAATTCAGCTACCTTTTGTAGGGTGCTCATTGTTTATGGTTTTTATGTAAATTAGTATTTTATTTTATTATTATTATTTTAAAAAGGTGAAATTTGAATTGGCCTGTCCAGAAATACCTCTCCGGGTATTACTTCTCCTCCTCTTTGTTCTTCTTAATATTTTTTACTTGGTCGGACTCTTGCTACAATAAATTTTCATGCATAGAAAGTGATTAAAAACCAAAAACAATGAGCCTGGCCATGTTCTCAGCTCGTGGAAGAGTGTTGTGTATGTACTAATCCCTGCAAACGTAATGTAATATCTGTGTGATATTATGTCTTTGTAAGTGCAGACTTGGTGTTTTAAAGGCTTATACTGATTATTTCGTAGTACTCGGACGAGTGTCGAGTACGCTTCCCGGAGCTATCACTGACACTGAGATCTGTGTTTTAAGTCCTCTGGTTTGCAGTCCTAGATCGTAATCGTGTTTTCTGCCGTTCGGCTGTCACAACTCGTTTGGAGTTCTCGTCGTGTTTGGTTGTCACTGATTAAATCTCTTTACTGTAATTCAGCGATTGAGCTGTAAAACACTTGACAAGGTGCTACTGTACTCACGACTACAAACGGAAAAGATATAATGCAGGACACTGCTCCGGAAACGCCCTTGTGTTTCACATCCGCCTTCAAACGTTCACTTTTTCCCTGCTTTGATCGTTAGTGCTCTCATCCTGGTCATCGTTCGGCACGATCAAGTCTTTCCAAATGTTTCACTCTGAATCCTCTCTAAAGCCTTGAGTAGTTTACCTTCTGGATCTGTTGCATTTGTGTGTCGATGAAAACTAAAATTTAATGAGCCCAAATAGAACAACTCCAAGGCGTTTTCTGTCACACAAAGAGCAAAATTGGTGCGCAGCTTTTAAGTCAAAATTAGAATTGTTTACCCTCTCGTGCTTGTTTTCTCCTAAAAGCCCTGTGACCTGATGGAAAGGTGGAAAGGGCGAGGTCTTCGCCGCAGTGACGGTCAGGCTGCGTCTCTGCTGCTGGTGCTCTCTATGGTGCTAACAACTACTCGCTTCAAACATCAGAGACAAAAAGGATCTGTGTCGCGAAGCTCTCGCTCTCCTGCCGCCGTACGTGCTCCAGTCCTTGGGCGTCTGATAAAGAAGACGCTCGATCCCCTCCCTACTTTCAGATTGGGTTTCCCTACTTGTCTAGGCTCGCTTTGGAAAGGAAACAGAGGGAATTTTAAATAAGTCATAGACTGTGACGGGGCTGATGCTGTGACAAATAAAAGTGGTGAGAAATTGGGTGCACCTGCTGCAATTTCGTGCCTCAAAGAGAAACTCGCACTTATTACAGGCTTCACTGGTGAGATGTTTGCGCCTCCGAGTTCGATTGAGTCTCACTCCAATTTCTAAACAGATAATTGGCTCTGAAAGACTAGAACATCCATGAATTTAAAATCGTGTACAGCTGGTTGTGTTTTCGTCTACACGTTTCTCTCAGGAGGTTCGACCTTCTCGCCACCCGTGTGTAGATGATGCTGGCCGCATCTTGCGCCAGAACAGATCAGTGTTCGCCTTTTTATTAGGACTAACATCGAGACATCAGTGCTGCTATGCTGACAGGCAGGATAAGAGGCTTCCAGGAGGCCTGCAGATGGTGTTGCTATCTGCTCTGAAATGTCTCTGGCTCATCTCTGCTTTGACCCTGATCTCCTGTCAGCCTGTTTGTTAGCTCCTGCTGGGATCTAGGTGAAGCCCGGCCAAAGTTTAGCCGCTTCACGTGGACCGTCGAGTCTGAGCAGAGCGAGTTTGCTCCACCGCCATGACGGCAAGACGAGTAAACAGTTTATTCAGGCCACTTTGAACAGTTTTCTGAGCTCGGAAACTTTCCTCCTCAGCGGCAGCCGCATTTATTTCAGCTTTCATTTCAGGCTTGTTGGCAGCAGAATTGTTTCTGGCAACTTCAAATGGCTCTCCTGTGTTTACTCTGCTGTAATAAGCGTCCACTCTGGGAGTCTGGTAGCTTTCTTTGTTACCCAGCTCTCTTTCTCCCTTGTTTGAGTTCTCTGCAAGGCGCAGCAATCTCACAGGCTGGCTTTGTGTGCAGCAGAGACTGAGACCTCACTCGTATGAACCACATGAGCCACGTGAACTGAAACGGTCGAAAAAATATAGATTCGTTTGGCTGGGGTGTCTCTTCAGAGCATTTTTGCCGGCAGCCCTCGAGCACACAGGTGGTTCAGCTTGAAGAGCAAATGTCTGCTTAAATTATGGATTGTTTTGCTGCTTCGGGTGATTTTTCACTGCCGATCAGGGCAACAAAGTCTCATTTGCAAAGGCGCAGCAGTTGCGAACGACTCCAAACTATTGGCTTTAGCAATTCAGAACGAATCAGTCGTCATCTACTAAATCTCACAATGACATTGCCCCGATGTTATCGCCTGATCTGTCCAGTTTTGTATAAATATTTATTTATGCTCAAAAAGTGACCTCTGCAGTAGCTTTTAAGTGTTTGACATTTATGCTCTTGCTCATTATTTTGCCGTTTTTTCCCCTTTTCTTTGTGAAACTGAGCAGACTCGTACAGGAAAAATGGCTTAAATGACTCATTCCCCCTCTTTCGTATTAAATAAAGTGTCGTCTTCGCAGTGTGTGACAAAACACATGGGTCATATTCATTAGGTCAAGTTTATTTAATAAAAAGAAGAAAAAAAAAAAGGTATGAATGTGGCAATGTGGTTATTGTACTGGCAAGGAAAAGGTGCAATATACAGTTCCCAGATGGTTCCAGCCTTTTTTTTTTTTTTTTTTTGAAATGATTTTTCTTTTTCCAGTCAGGTCCTCAGGTCACTAAATGCCTTCTGGTCCTGAGGGTGACCAGGGAATCTCAGAACATACACTAATGCACCCAAAATTCAAACGACTGGATTTTACTTTAGTCTCTTCTTGTCACAAATACCCCAGACAGTTTTTTTTCTTTTTGGGTTTTGGTTTGCTTTCAGATCAACACAGACTCTTATTCTGGTGTCCTTTTCCTTGCCTCCTTTTGTATTATTGTTATTTATTGCACATGTAATGAGTTGATCTCCACTGTCATTTAATTCAAGGAGTTTTGGGGCTGGAATTTCTTTCATACAAAACTACAGAAGCTTTTGTCAAAACCTAAGTGTGTATTTCATCAATAAATGCCTTTAAAAGTGCTTCTGATGCCGTGTTGATTGGATTTCTTTGGATTTGGAAAGCTGCCATCGATTTTGTTTATTTAATGTAGACAAATTTTAAATGCACATTAGAATACACAGGCCATTAGATCAATCTGTACTCACCTGCCACTTTGTAAGGTACTCCTCTTCAGCTGCCTGCAAACACATCTAATCAGCCAGTCACTTGGCAAGAGCGCTATGCATTTAGGCTTGTAGATATTTTAAGTGGTTTTGTAAACCTTAGGGATGCTTCTGCAGTAAAATCGCAGCAGACCAGCCTGTTTGCTATATCCAGAGGCCTGAAAAAGAAAATATCAGACCTTGTTGATGTTAGAGGTCAGAGGAGGATGTTTCAAGCTGAAGGGAAGGATTAGTTCAAAGATATAGTTAAATGTAACCAAGGCATCTGTGAACATGCAGCAGCATGTTATGTTACCAGGAAGTCCATTGAGATGACTTTTACAAGCGAGACCTGATCAAAACAGCAGCGACCCAAAACATCTCAAATGTTACAAATATAACAAAATGTAACAATATTAAAATGACTTTTCAAAGTGAACATCCAGATATCTCCTTCACTGAATTCCTAATTTATGCTTTCGAACTCACCAGTAAATGGAGGCAGTTTAATGTTCGGGCTTTCTGTAAATTCTTCAAGATTACACAGCAGAAGATTCAAAAAATGCCGCCGGGTTTGACGAGTCTCGAGTTTTACTGCAATATTCAGGAAGTAGAGTCAAAATGTAAGCAACCATCCTGCTTTGTATCAACAGTTCAGGCTGTCATGGTGTGGGGATATTTTCTTAGCACACTTTGGGCCCCTTAAGGCCATCGAGTTTACTGCACTCAAATGGATGGATGTGGTGGAACGGGTAACTGTGTAACGCTACATTATATGGCCAAAAGCATTTACTCACTCCTCTAAATCACTGAAATCAGATCACTTCCAGAATTGGTTATTCTCTAGAGCGCAGTGAATTCCAGCGTGGTACCGTGATAGGATGCCACAATGTTAAATGAAGGTGAACGTTGCTCAGTGTTAGTGGCTGCATGTTATTTAGTCCTTCTGCCAACTAGAGATTTAAAAACATATAGAGAGACCTCTCTCAGGGAGTAGAAGACCATCCCCAACTTCTTATTCAAAATAAGAGCAAGAACTTTTGTCTTTGTACTTTAGTTCAGGATTTTCACATCCATGCTTGGAGCATCCGTTTTTATATGATTCTTCAGGTTTCCTTCAAAAGCTGCCGCAGAGTTTTTTGTTTCACATTATTACTTTGAGGAGATATTTCACAGCAGCTAGAAAGCAACTGGTTTAACCAGGGGATGCTATAGTGACGTAGACACAACTTTAACCTCTTTCCTGACAGCTGTGGGGAGAAAAAAGCAGCCTGTGAGCACTCTTTAGGTAAGATTTCCTGTTTTGTTACACCATATCGCTTTGTGTTGTGCCAGTACCACCAAAAATAAACAATTTCTGTTTCATCCAGTGGTGGAACATACAAAAATCAAATATTACCAAAAAACACCCACAAAACTATCAATGAAAAGGCCAGTCGTCGCCAACAGCTGCCTTACAGCAAGGTGGCAGATGTTAAATGTCAGACACTCTGTGGAAGAGTCTCAGGTTTCCGTCTGCTCACGCCGCAGCTGCAGAGTCATTCAGCCGGTGGCCACGATGGCTGCAGATGCATCACATTTGACTTGGAGGTGGCTGTGTTTGCATTGGCCATCTGCAAAATACAACAAATAGGGAAGAATCTCACATTAATACACAACTTTTTATCTGCCCTTGTTGAAATAACACGACAGAAACTATCAAAAGATAAAACTGTGAGAATATTCTGTCTAATTAGCTACTGAACCAAATGGTAAATATGTTTATTTGTGGAGTAGCAAAAAACATCTTCAAATAATTCGTTTTACACCCACTCAAAGTGTCACAATCTAAAGCGGATACCAGGCTCATCTTCACAATGATTTGATGCACAAGATGCCCTTTGGGGCTGCGGTTCAACACACATAACAGTCCTGTCAGCATGAGGAGCTTGACAGAGGAGAGTTGATTGAGTCACAGGTTTCTCAGTCAGAAGACCACAGTTTGACTCCGGTTTGAATCTTGGTGCTTTGGTTTATTTGCAGATTAATTTAGTGTTTGCTCACTTTTTGTTTTGTTGTTTTTGCTTTTGCTCGTTTTTGGGCACTTGAAAATAGTAATGTTTAGAAAAGATTGTGCTGGATTAAAACATGACCCTTCAGATGGAGAGCCCGGTGTGCTTAAATGCAGATACACTTAGAGCTCCACAGCAGGTCTTCGACTAGCTTTCCTCCCCTCACCCCAACCAGTCACAGCAGATGGCCGCTCCGCCCTGATCCTGGTTCTGATCGACGTTTCTCTGTTAAATGGGAATTTTTTCCTTTCCACTGTCACCAAAGTGCTTGTTCAAAGGGAGGCGGAGGGAGGGTTCATGCACCATATAAATAAAACTGAAATAAGTTACCTTGTTTGTAAATCTGGCACAGTGATGGCTTTGAGAAAACTCCACTATTTGACATCCTGGGAATAAATATGGGCCAGAAAGTCAGAGGATCATCGTTACCCCGATGGGAGAATAAATGTCTGCATCAAATTTTAT